GAAGTACACTGCTGAGGGGAGCAGCGGGTGGGTCAGGAGAGGTCTGCCACACCATGTGGTCACCTCTGGGGCAGGCGGGAATCAAACTCATGCGGAAGTGGCTTTAGGTTCTCAGTGTTGTGCTTTAACCCACTGCACCACTAGGGAGGGCCGGGAACTTATTTTTAACAGCCATTTCTTCTTTCATATTTATAATACAGAAATGGTGCCCAAATTGCAGAAGGATTTCGTGTTAGAGTTGATCTTGCATCTTCCACTTCCTCTGTAAGTACTTGAGTTGTTTAAAAACTTGTAGTGTGAAACCTTTTCTTTTGAGCTTATGCTAGAAGGACTGAAGTAAGCAGTGAACTTGAGGAAAGCACAGAAGGAAATAACCTTTGCCTTTCTGGGGTCACAATATTGTTGCCTATAATGGTCCAAGAACTTATATATCAACATTAGCTATGGAAACATGAACCACCCCCCCCTACACACACACACAACATTAGAATGATTAGAATGGATAATGAGAGTTAGGCTGGAAGATGTGTTAGACAGACTAAGCCAGTACTTTATAGAATGAGGATTAGAAAGTTAAATATTTTATTAAACAGTTTTTGAATCTATTTTGTGTCATGTGTATAGCACTAAGATATAGTCTCAGTTTCCTAGATAATCACATTGTTACGTGAAGATGAGTTAGACTGATTGAGGTACTGGTGATTGTCACCAATGAATATTGTCAGAAAGGCTCAGTATACTTCTTCAGCTCTGGAACAGAGTGTTTGTCTTTGTAAGGTGCCAACAAAAAGAGACAAAGTTTCTAGGAAAATTTGTATTATATCAGACATGAAAGATGAGTCAGTGTTATCTAGTTAAAAATTACAAGAAGAGGATATTAGGTTAGGACAAACAGTACAAATGTGAGGACCCAGATTGAATTTGCTCAGGAAATGTCAATAGCTTGATGTAGTTTATTGGGTAGCATGAGGCTTTGGTAGCAGTAAGAGTTGCTCTTGGAGAAATAGGTTGGGTCCAAATCATGAAGTCTCTGGACTGCATTGCTGGGTCTGGGTTTTGTGTAGGTGCTGTGGTGCAGGTATAAGCATGGGAGTGTTGTGACTAGTCTTGGCATTTACAAAGCTCCTTTGAAATGAAGGCTGAGTGCTAAGAAGTCAACAGAATTTTTTTAAATTTCTATTTTTTTAAATATATTTTAAAAAATAATATAATAGTTTACTTTTACATCATTCTGTGCATTCATCTCAGTAGTCAACAGAAATTTTAAGAGTCATTACTTAGTTGTCAAAGTGAGCTACTTGAGGAATGACAAGAACCTTGTTGAAAGCCCTGACTATGGTTATAGACCTAGCACAAGGTGAACAAACTATTTTGGGGGCCAAAACCACCAGTTTTTTGAAATAAATTTTTATGGATACAAGCCATACTCTCTAGGTTATGTATTGTGCTAAATGGCAGACTTGAGTGGTGGCAATAGTTGTAACACATCAACTACAAAGCCTGAAATACTTGCTTTGTGGCACTTCACAATAAAAAATTTCCCAGCTCTAACGTAGCATGCCTTTCTTTTATTTTTAACATCATTCTTCATTTTCATACAAAGTATACTTTATCGTCTTGTGTATGTTCCCCAAGAAATTGCCACTACCAATTCACCTGCATATTATCACCATAGTTCCTTGTGCTCTTCCCACCTCTGTTTTGATCCAGTTTCCTTCCCCATGTTCCCCCACACCCCCCCAGCATGTCTTTTTGAGTGCTGCTATGTGTCAGTATGTTGGGTCACCAGTAATCTGAATCTGTTCTGTGTACATGAAAGGCAAGGAGAGAGAGAAGAAAAAGATAGATGCAGAGTACTCCATACTGGCAAGTGGCAGTTTTATTTTTATATCCAATGCTGATTTTATTTTTTATTCATGTATCTGTTTACATTATTGTTCATTTTAGGCATGTGGCAGTTTTAATAGGTACTTACATATAGGCTTTATCCTGGCATCTAGAAGACAGGTCCTTTTCCATCCTTTCCCCCAAATCTTAAAAGTTTATAGAGGTTTTAATTGGGTTTAATCAGGGCATTTGTCCAGATGGTCTTAGCAATATGTTTTATCTCAGGAACATGTTGTAGGCCATCTAGAAGCAAGGAGAACAAGTGGAACCAACATGGGAAGTGGATATTTCTGGTTGGCTTTAATTTCCAAAATGCAGCTCCCCAGCAAGTGGTCACATTCTCTGCTATCCTCTCCCTAACACAGTGCTAGCTATCAACAGATAAAACATTCCTTCCTGTGGTGCTACTCATATGGCTGCAGGGAAGGCTGGGTGTGTGACTAAATCAGGATAGGGAGGCTCAACAGATATGTGGGGTAATGGAGAAAGATGGCTTTTAAGATGACTTCTATTTTCTGCTCCACTGAGTGATTTTTATTAACTGTCTTTGTGTTTCAGAGGGAGAAGAGATCCGTATTTGTGGGCAATCTTCCATACAGTAAGTTTGAATTAAGTATTTAGGTATTAGGGTTATAACAACTGAATTGTAGCCTAGGATTTGGCTTTAAGACTAAAAATTGTGGAGGTTACATGGCTAATTTTCATGGGACTATATTTAACTTGCTATATTAAACATCTGAAGTTTTCTAAGGCAATTCCAAGTCTTTATTTCTTCTTTGGTTGAATTTATTTGTAGAAATTGAAGAATCTACAGTTGAGGAACACTTTTTGGACTGTGGCAGTATTGTGGCAGTAAGGATTGTGAGAGATAAAGTAACAGGAGTTGGCAGAGGGTTCGGCTACGTGCTCTTTGAGGTATGAGAGACTAATGCATTGTCACTGTTCTCTGCAATGAGACTGGGAGGGATTGTCTTTGCTCTTTCATCAGTCAGATGTAACTATCACACCTTCAAATTCTGTCTTAAGAAAACTAATGAGTGTAGTTCCTCTAATTGCATCTAGCCAAAGATGTTCCACCAATAATTCCCTACCTTCATATTATGTTAATAATGTTTGAGATACTGGATATTAGAGGTATTAAATCACTAAATATCCAGCTTCTGTGAAATGGAAAAAATAATTGTTCACTTCAGGTAGAAGAAAATTTTAGTCTTTGTGTAAAATTGGTTATATGTAGCTTGCCAAATGTTAACCACTGTTTCATGCCTAGCATTATTACAGTATATATAGGTTTGAGACTACACATTCTATTAAAATATACATACTATCTGCAGGCACTTGCATTTTTCTTCCCTCATTAATACATTTCACTTTTTTTTCCTGTGCCTTTTTTATAGTTTTTTTTTTTTAATATTTAGAGAATAAGCTTATTAGAAAGAGACAGGAAAAGAAAAGACACTTACATAGCCACAAGTGGGCAGGAAGAGCTGCCCTGGAAGGGACAGGTTTGCAGAGAGAGAGGCCTGCATGGTTGCAGGCCCGCAGCCTTAGGAGAATGGCCTCCACTGAGGGAGTTCAGTGCAGAGAAGTCCTGGTATGGTACAGGTCACGGCAGGCAGGATGCTGCTGCCCTGCAAGGGAGAGAGCGGCTGGAAAGAAGCTCCTGCATTGTTACTGCCTTTTTTGTAGTTTAACTTATACCTGTGGCCCTACAAATTTGCAACCTGCTTTACTTCTTTTATGTTATATAAGCATCTCCCACTGAGTGATGTTCCATAATTTAGACTGGTTTTTCCTCATTTTTCTGAAATTTTTCATGTTCCCTATTATTCCATATAATAAAGAAATTGGAGTGGTTAATTTTTTCTTCAAATGTTTGCCTACATTTTCCATTACTTCTTGAGGATAGATCCCAGTGGGCTGTTAGTAACTTGGTCAATATTTGTGACTATTTATGAGGCTCTCAATATGTCTCACCAGATATTTTTTTATTAAAGATTTATTTTAAATATTTTTATTTACTTATGCATACAGAACTGGGTTACAGGCCAGTGGCACAGGTGCAGTGAGAAGATCCACAAGAGATATAGTGGGGAGTAGAACAGGCAGATTTACTGAAATACACTGCTGAGGGAAGCAGCAGGCGAGACAAAAGAGGTCTGCTACGAGAGAGGTCTTCTGTGTCATGTAGGTCAGCTCCCTGGCCAGGATCTAACTCACTGCTGGTAGCTTCATAGTGCTGAGACTTAACCTCTTATGCTACCAGGGTAGCCCTCACCTTTAAGAAAGATTGTCATAGCCTTATTTTCCATTTGTATATTATAATTAACTTACTATTTATCTGCTCTCAGTCTTCTATTTCTTGATATGCAAAACCCTTTAACAAACACTTCATGAATCTTCAGAGTTACTAGCATTTAGTGGTTCTTGGTTCTATATTAGAACAAAAAATAATAGAATTTTAGATCTAAACAGAAACCTACAGGGTATTCTCTGTCCGACATTTCAAGAACTATAATGGAGAATTCCCTCCTCTCAAGTCAGCTAATAAGCAGGGCTTAGGCAGAAAGAGCCTTTTGAGAAAGTTTCATTGGTTGAACAGATTTTGCCTATGACTAATTTTAGTTAAAGCCTCATTTTTACAAGAAAAATGAAACCTATTGGATTGTGACTTAACCAGATTATTTGACAACTCAAGTACTTCCTGGGGAAAAACTGGTTAGGGTCAAGATTAAAACAAGATTATAAACACAGCTCCTGGGATACTTGTGATTGGACTTTATGAGTAAGGAGATGGGAAGGGTTTTTGGGTGTAATCTTGAACACTGTTCCAATTCATTAAGGTTGCATTTTTACTGGTTTCTTGGCAGGTAAATTTCTGTTGGAAATTAATATATTGATTTTTATTGCAGAATACAGATGCTGTTCATCTTGCTCTAAAATTAAACAATTCTGAACTGATGGGAAGGAAACTCAGAGTCATGCGTTCTGTTAGTAAAGAAAAATTAACACAAAATTCAAAACCCAGTTCAAAGGATGTCAATAAAGCTAAACAGCGACTTAATTTTGCTTCAAAAAATGTAGGACATTCAAAAAATTTATTTATTGGAGAAAAAGCTGTTCTCACTAAGAAGAAGAAGAAAAGCCAGAAGAAAAGTGCACCAACAAAAAAACAGAAAAAGCAGAGGTAGCTGGTGAAGCTTTTTATTTTTATCTCACTGAATATTGGTAATAAAAGTTTGGTGAACTCATATTGAATTTCAGAATGTTTTATGGATGATGTATGTAAAACATGGAAACTTTCTATTTGTTATGTAGAAATAATAACTGAAGTATTTGTTTTAAAGTGTTGGTAGATTATGGAGTATGTGTTACAGGTGATGGTAAAAGATGATTTTAGACTTAAGGGTAAACATTTAAAATTTAAAGTTGTGTATGACTTTAGTGAATGTCAGAATTCAGACAATTATGTCAAGAATTGCTTGGAATGAGACACAATTTAAAAGTGAGTAGATAATATAAGTAAATAAATTTTTAAAATAATAAAATTTTTAAAAATAAATAAATGATAAAAAAGTTAGTAGATTTAAAGAAAAAAATAAAGGAATAAATTTTATTTTTTTTAAAGAATTATTTATTTATGCATACAGAACTGGAGTATGGTTAGAGTTGCAGGAACCGTGAGAGGATTCACCAGAGCAAAACAGGAAGATCCATGAAATACACTGCTGAGGGGAGCTGTTCTGCCACACCATGTGGTTCACCTCCCTGGTTGGGATCGAACTTGCACTGAAGTGGCTATGGAGAGTTTCACAGTGCTGTGCTTTAACCCAGTGTACCACCAGGGAGGGCCAGCAATAAATAGGAATACTGATTGTCCCAAGACAAATCAATAATAAAAATGGAAATGCTAACCTTTAATAACAATCTATGAGAAGAAAGGTTTTAAGGGCTATTATATAACAGCCATTTTTTTTTCTTCTTTTGTATTTAATGACAAGGGGAGTTATGGGTTATAATTCTATTCCATCAATCTAATAATAACTAACCAGTAACTTATCATAAAATTTGGCTCTGATTTCTTTTTCTTAACTGGTGATTAGTTATTGAAGTCCATGGCAATTTAGCTAGAAAAGTTGTTTGGATTTTTTTTTTTCCTTTCTACTTTTAATTTGAAAAATATTCTTTCAGGAAAAGTTATTTCTCATGAAACAGTCTTTCAAAAATTCATAATTAAAGGAAACATTTTCTCATAAAATATGGTAAGTATGTCATAAAGCATGAAGTTCAACAAGGAGAATGAATATGAGCATTTCCTTGGAGGTTAGCCATGTGATATAGCTACTTTCCCCTCTCACAAATCTTTACAGTGGATACTGGATCTGTATCTGGGAGGGAAAAGAAGGAATCCAGAGGGCAGATACTAGGCAAACAAAATCTGGATACATGCACTCTATCATTTAGAGGTTAAGAGGGATCTCTAAGTTATTTCTCATTATTTAGAAAATCCTTTTGTGGGGTGTAACACAGGGAAGACCTTACTATAGCTCTGTAGAAAGCAGAGTGCTTCATTTTCCTGTATCCAGAAACTGGATGTTTAATGACTAGTATTCATATGATGCTTAGAACTTCGTTTTTCTTAGGGTTCAGTAAGTATGTATTCATTCATAATTCTAGAGTATTTTTACAAATATTTTCAGGCAACATACAAATATACATTGTCCATAACAGGCATATATACATACATAAATACATACATAAATGCACACACAAATATATAATATGTAACTGTATATATTTTTATCATATATAGGTGTTACGGTTCAGCTGCAGCAAATAGAAGGGCAGGGTCTTTGAAGGTGGGAAATGGCATTGGCAAGCAGAGATTCTCAGGGGAAGGGGAATGAAGAAGACATGGGAGTCAGTGTGGAAGTTGCAAGTGTCTCCTGCCCATAATCTCAGCTGGACTTTATTTATATAACACAGGCAAGTGGTGGGATTACATTAGCATATGTATTAAGCAGAAAGATAACAATCATAGCCTTTTCTTTAAGAACAGTTTGGGTGGGGTCTTTCTGACCTCCAGCTAAAATTGTAACATTTATCATTCTTAAAAAACTAAAAGTGTTAAAACAAGGCATCCTCATTTCTGTGCTTACTCTTTATAGCTGAACAATCAATCTATGAATGTTACATAAATTCATAAAATTTAAGACTAGCATTTCTATATTTACCACAGTGAAAGATTAGCGAAAAGATAGCCCCTTTAGCCCTAGTTACTATTTAATGGCCTTCATTCTCATTAAAGCATCCTATATGTGAAGGGTGACATGAAGTCAAGAACCAGAGTGGAAAAGTTTACTTCACTCGTGAATCTATCACTAAAGGAGTGATAATAGAGCAGCTCATTAAAGGCCAAACAACAAAGACTTAAGCTTTCTGGCTCCCAAAGTTTTATTTAGAGCCTAATATAGTGTTCACATCTGGAAGATAGTGGAATGATGGGATTTGGGTTATCGGTTCTGGGCAGGAAGAGAGCTTTGGTTATTTTTTTAAGACTTGTTTATCATTTATGCATACAAAACTGGGGCACAATCCAGAGGTGCAGGGGTGGTGAGAGTATTCACCAGACACAGTGGGGAGCAGAACAGGCAGATCGACAAAGTATACTGTTGAGAACAGTGGGCAAGACAGAAGAATTGTGCCACGCCATGTGGATCACCTCTGGGACCAGGGATTGAACTCACACTTAAGTGGCTGTGGCTAGCTTGCAGTGCTGAGTCTTAACAGGTTGTGCTATCAGGGAGGGCCGAGCTCTGGTTATTTTTTTAACATGTTTTTGGTATCGCCTTGTTTTACAATATTGACTTTACTGTAACAGCCAATTGCTTTTATTAAATAGCCAATTGTAAAATCGCTTTTGACATCATCAGATGCATTTGAATGAAAAAGTTGTTACAATTAAAAGGAGTGGTCAAAACAAAATAAAGGGGTTCAGCAGGAGCCAGCTTTAGAGCCCCCTAACTTTTGGGGAATGTGCCCTCATATGCTCAGACCTTGTCAGACAGCATACATTAGCTGGCCCAGTGTCTCTAGGTTTTCATGTAAATAACTCTGAGCTGGGTGTTAGGGCATCTGGTTCTTGACCTAGCTCTGTGGCTGTGCATGCATGATCTTGTACTAGCCTCAACCTCTTTATAAATTTCTTGACTGGTGAAATAAGGGATTTGGGCTAGATCAGTATTTTCATGTTTATTATTTTAAATTATGATCTGCAATAGCTTTAATTTTACATTATGGGCAGAACAAATGCAAATATATTTGAAATGAATATTTCATGTTTCTTACTACATGCATTGCTGTCTGATTATTCTTACTGTTACTAAAAATTCTGGTTTATGATCCACTAGATCATGCTACTTAATACTTAGAAGTACATGCCTAGGGGATTCTCAAGTAGTTTTTACTTAAATATTTTATGCTTACAGGTGTTTTACAATAGGTATTTAAAAATGTAGAGTAGTGGGCCCTCCTTAGTGATGCAGCGGGTTAAAGCACAGCACCAAGAAGCTAAAGCCACTTCAGCATGAATTTGACCCCGCCTGCCCTGGAGATGATCCACATGGTGGGTGGGCCAGGTCGGCCCTCTGCTCCCCTCAGCAGTGTATTTCATTGATCTGCCTGTTCTGCTCCCTGCTCTGTCTCTGGTGAATCTTCTCACTGTCCCTGCACCTCTGGCCAGTACCCCAGTTCTGTATGAATAAATAAATCAATCTTTAAAAAAAAATGCAGTTTTAGAATTCATGAGCATGGATGTTACTCTCTCTGTTTTGTATAAATATGGTATATTGCACCTTGTAACAATGACTGATGTTTATGTACTTAGTACATACAAGAATACAAGAAGGATAGAGAACAGTAGCACGTTCTTTTTTTACTTAGGAGTCATAAGCTGATGGCCAGTAGCTACTCAAATTTGTGAATTAAGTTCTAGGCCTCATGATATCTATCTGGACTTGGACCAACCTTTTCTTTTTCAACACTTAGGCTAAGGACATACCTGTATCAGTTGAGGTTCACTGACAGTTTCTGGGAATGGTGCAGAGTGTGAAGAAAAAAGAATTTTATGTTACTTTGTTCATGAGCCTCCTATCTCAATAATTTGCTTTGGTACATATTTCACTACACCTTTAACCTCCCGCTCTACTCCAAGCCAACTCACAAATACCTTTGGTCGATAGGTGGTTACTTAACAGAAAAGGGCTTTCAGAGGAAGCCTGCTAATGGTGTAGGGATCAAGTCTCAGTGCTCTTATGCTATCATTGCTGTGACCTGAGTTCAATCTCTCCATTCCCCACCAGGGAACAAAGCCACATATGGCGCAGCAGACCTCTCCTTTCCTTGCCCAATGCTCCCCTTAGCAGTGTATTTCAGTAGATCTGCCCATTCTGTTCTCAACATTGGTTTATTCTCTCACCGCTTGCACCTCTGGCCCACACCCCAATCTATGCATAACTAAACCTTCAAACAAAAAATGGCTTTCACAGATTAGGCCCCCAGCTAGATGTTTTCATACGTGTCCTTGCAACAACTTCTGACACCAATGCCCTAGGGATTAGGTCAAACTTAGCAGGTTAATGGTACACTTCTTACAAGACTACCCTTCCTTCAAGACAACTTTGAAGGGTCTTAGATGACTTTTCCATTGGCTTCTAAATTAGGGCTTCCCAGTAGCTCCCTCAGGCTTAATTCACTATAAGGCTTCACAGAAGGCAGACATATTCTACTGACTACCATTTTACTACAAAAAAATAAAAAGAACTCACAAGTGAGAGCCAGGCAAATAGACACATGAGAAGTCTGGGAGAGTACGAGATTCAAAGCTTATGTGACCTTCTTATGAAGTCAGGACATCTCACCCTTAGCACATAGCACATCTGTAAGTACAGCGTATTGTCAACCTGGCATGCTCACACAACTCTGCTTTTTCATTATGTAGACAGTGAAGTTGAAATCAGTTTCCAACTCTTCTTCTCTCAGGTAGGGCTAATACTACCCAATCCGCCATTTGGTTGTCTGTGGTTGGTGGTTCTGGCCTGGCCTGCCTCCATCATCAGCCATTTCCTTCACATAAACTGTCAGAGTTCACCAAGAAAACATTTTATTGTTCCAAGGAATTAAGAGGGTCAACCAAATTAATGACACAATCCACTAGCTGACTGGTTTTACCATGTCTCTCTCACCAAATTATTATAGTCTGCTTTTTTGTCCAAGGCTTTATTTTCTTTTTAAATTGAAACTAGTCATACAATGTTTTCTCTAGCTCTAAGACAACTCACCTTTTCTGTTTTTTTAAATTCTCTTTTACCGGTTATATTTTCCCAGGAATTGCTCCATTTAATATTCAACTTATTCCTTGTAACATTCATTTGAAATCAATTCACTAGATTACATTGTAACATTCATTTGAAATTGAATCACAAAAATACAGGGCTTGTACAATGGACTGTGAGTGAACTTGAAAAAGCAAATTTCAGTTAAAATCAAGAGTCACTGATCGCCAGTATTATACAGTAAAAAGAAGCCTGTCGTCAACGACCTTCCATCTTTCTTTTGGCAGGAGCCAGGCTGTAAGCTATAGTCTTGTGTGAGTTTGTGCACGACCCACACTCGCTGCTCAAGACACGCTCAGCCCTTCTTAAAGCAGCGAGCAGTCACTCCCAAACCCAGACTCTGACGCTAACTGCCTCCTCATCTCCGCCCCACCCCCAGCTAAAGCGTCATGGTCTAGGCCCCCTGCACAGGCGCAGAAGTAGCGCGGGCGCCTCTGCTCAGGCACCGCCGCGGACGTCCCTGGGGGCCTTGGGCGATTAGGGCCGGAAGTGGCGAGCGCTCGCCCTTTCCGCGTCGCTCGCGGCGGGCGGCCGGTGTGAGTGGGTCTGTTACCTCTGAGGGTTCCCGGCCAACGGCCTTTTGTCGGGCGCTGCTGCCGCCGACCCAACTCCACGATCGGGGGAACATGGTGGGCCGGAACAGCGCCATCGCCGCTGGTGTATGCGGCGCCCTTTTCATCGGGTACTGCATTTACTTTGACCGTAAGAGGCGGAGCGACCCCAACTTCAAGAACAGGCTGCGAGAACGTGAGTAGGTCCCCGCGCCCCTGGTCCCGCTGCCGCCCTCGGGCAGGTTTGCTGCGCTTGGCCACCCACAGATTTTGTCTGGGGGCTTCGTGGAGTCGCGCGCCGGGCGGTCTCGTGGTGTTGCTCTTGTGGTGACGGCCACGAGCAATCTGACCGGAAAAAGGTGATGACGCTGTTGGAGCGCTCCCAGCGCTGCTCCTGGCTCTTGTGCCCTGCACGATTCCCTCCATTTTGGAGGAACGATTTTTCCCATTTTGTTTTTCCTCATGCACTTTTGTTTTCTAAATACACTGTTGTTTGTGTGGTAATGGTGGTAGTGGGGAGTTGTGCATTCCCTCTTTACCTCATTTTTTGCCGTTTACGTTTTAAACCTTTCTTCTGAACGCAAAATCATGTTTTTTGTTTTTCACGATTTTGTGCCTGAGACTAAATTTACAAAGCCAATTCGCGGTGTCTTTGTTGCATTCTTAAACCCCCTTGGTAGCTTCGCGTTAAGTGCTTCCAAGATATGAATGAATGCTATAGAAATTGCAGGGCAGTCCAAAGGGCTGTGCTTTTTCTGTAGCTCGGTCTTATTTCAAACCTGCGACATCTTTTTACAGGAGAGATTTACAAGAGGAAAATCTAGTCACCAGAACCAATGTGATCTGTGAATTTCGACGCACAAAAACTCATTTGCAATAATAGGGCAGATTTGTTGCATAAGTGTTTTTTGTAACTAATTTAGTTTACTCAGTCAAAACAGCTTCTGAGATTAAGGTTAATGTTCAAGTCATTAAAACTCAGAAAGTAGAACGAAGTGACCGTATTAAGTTACAAATCGTTTTAGATGCCACGTGTGGCTAGTGACTGGCACATTGAACAATACTGATGGTGTTAATCTGCAATAATTCTAGCTCACGTTTTATGAGAAGAGGCATATAGAAACTTACTTCATTTATGGCTAGATAAACTAATGGAAAGGATGCCATTTAGTTTTAGACAAAGTCCCCAAGCCCAGGTTAGTCACAAATTAGCAACATAATCCTGGATTTTCCAAATCTTAACTTTCATAGGTTGTAAAATCAGGTAATGCCCCGCGTGCCTCTGATTGGTTTTGTGGAGATTAAGACGTTTCAGGTGTCTTCTACCATTCCATGTATGGGAAAGGTTCCTTCCATGAATGCTAGCTGGTAAATATATTAATGTAATTGGAATTTAGATCATTTCACTAAAACTATTTCTTTAAAAATAGATGGAGGTCACCAGATAAAGGCTTAACTCTATAATGAATGGATTAACCCTTCCTTTGGAAACACTGTAAATACTACTTACCACTTTAGAAAAAGGAAAGATGTGTTATTTTCAAATTCCATTTTCTTTCATCTTCAATAGATGCCCCCCCCCCCAACATACTTATTTAAGTTGTCAGGCATGAATTATTAGCTGAGTAGCCTTGGATTACCTACTTAAAGTTTAAGTAAAATGGTATACTAGGGCCCTCCCTCGTGGCTCAGCGGGTTAAAGCACCGCACTAAGAAGCTAAAGTCACTTCCGCATGAGTTCGATTCCGGCCTGCCCCGGAGGTGACCACGTGGCCTGGCAGACCTCTCCTGACCCGCGCTGCTTTCCTCAGCAGTGTTATGCATTGATCTGCCTGTTCTGCCTCCAGCTCTGTCTTTGGTGAATCCTCTCACCTTCCACATCTCTGGCCTGTACCCCAGTTCTGTACGAATAAGTAAATAGATCTTTTAAAAAAAAATTAAAATGGTATACTAAATGCAGAGTTGGGAACAATCCCTGGGATGTAGTAATTGATGAATGTTAAGGATTATTTATAAATATAACTATTACTTGATTTTTTTAAGCAAATAAGGCTTTTATTCAGAATAATTTTGCAAAATGTTTAAAGAAATTATTGGTCTTAATTGGGGTGTTTTGCATTTATGATAAGGAAAAGGCATGCCTGTGGTGTTTTTTTGTTTGTTTGTTTGTTTGTTTTTTTAGATTTATTTATGCCTCCAGAACTCTGGTACAAGCCAGAGGTTCTGGGGTGGTGAGAGTATTCACTAGAGACATAGTGGGGAGCAAAACAGGCTGATCGATGAAGTACACTGCTGAGGGGAGCAGCTGCCATGTGGATCACTTCAGAGCTGGGGATTGAACTCTCACTAAAGTGGCTGCGCCTAGCTTGCAGTGCTGCATCCTAACCCTTTGTGCCACCAGGGAAGGCTCTGTGGTTTAAGGTTTGAGGCTAGATTTGGGATATTAATTATTTTTAGAGATTTTACTTATGCATACAAGAACTGGGGCATAGGCCAGAAGTGCAGGGTGGTGAGAGGATTCACCAGAGACAGAGTGAGGAGCAGAACATACACTGCTGAGGAGAGCAGCTGGTCAGAGGTCTGTGGTGCCATGTGGCTGAAGATTGAACACATGCCGCAGTCGCTGCCAGTAGTTTCATAGTGCTGACGCCACCAGGGAGGCCCCAAGGATATTTGTTGAGATTTTTGTCTTTCATTGGTAAATGAGGATTATCAGAACTCTTAAAGCACACTTAAAAAATTGGTCTGATTACTATTATTAAAAACCTGTCAAATTATATTGCTAGCAGCAGGTTTCATTTATATAGTACTACATAAAAAAAGGTTCTACATAAAAATAAGGTTCATTTTAAAATATGTTAAGTAATCTCTTAATGTTTTGAAAGTAGACAGGTTTGCTTTAATTTGCTAGATTTACAAAGTAGCATTTGGGACTGTTTTCTAGCAAATACTCAATCCAGGCCTGCTTTCATTGATTGAATGTATAACTGGTTTTATCAGCCTGTTATTATGTCCCTTTTTATCATAGAGATAGTACATGAAACTATCTCTGAAAATAAGTCAGTGTAACAAGTTAATTGTCTTATGATAGGAAAGCCAGAATTTTAATTTTATTGCTAGAAATTTAAAGCAGCTTAATCCTCTGAAAATGTAGTAACAGTATAAAACATACACAGTAACAAACTCTTCCACCCCCATTTAAAAAAAAAGACTAAGATAGGTTAATAATGGGAATAAGTTACTCTCCTGGAATTCGTTATCGTTTTCTGTCTGCATTAGCAAATTGTATTTCTCTGTATATTCTACAAAGTTGCCATATGCATTTCTGCAGTCTCACTTATTTTGATGGTAATGTCTTCTCTTACTCTGTAGAGGTACATGTGCTCTGAAATTCATTGTCTGATTTTGAATCCACACTCCACCACTTAATAGTTGTGACTTTGGTGAAAGTGATTACAGTACCTACCATAATGTTACTATGAAGATTAAATAAGATAGTTAATAACATTTAGAGTTGTATGTCACATAGCATCTAAAACTTAACTGAGAGCACATAACCCTTAGCATCAAGTTCTTTTCATATACAATTCCTCTGTGATGTCTTCCTTTTTCTTTTATTCTTAGTCCTCTTCTTCTAGCACTTAGTAGTATCAGTAGTATTTAGTAAGTATCAACTGATGTCATGTTATTCTTTTGCCTAAAGACTGAATGAAGGAAGATGCCCTTAAACAAATTGAGAGGAGACTGTTAAGTGTTAGGTCTCCTCAGTTAGTTACTCATTGGTGAACACCTAGGAGGGAGTAATTTGTTAGAAAAATAGTCTTCAAGTTATTATGTAAGATAATCTTTAACCTATTTTCTTTTTCTGTTGAAACTGCTAGAATTGTATGTAACTTGGCTTTGCCACATTTTGAATTATGGGGGCTTGAATTGTAGAATGATTGAAGGCTTCCAGAGGACATAGCCTTATGGCTCTTTTCTTGCTCACAGTAGTAAAGTTAAACATTCTTTATCTTTGGAGAGTTAAGAGATGTATTTGCCAAAGGTCACTCAAGTAGTATTCAAGCCTTAGACCTTTCTTGGTTATTTCCCATGTTGTTGTTCTTGTTGTAGTTAGTGACTGTTGTAAGGCCTCAGGTGGCATAGCACAGCTCCTTAGCTGAGTGTAGCTTTAAATACCCATTAATTTACTTAATCCTCTCAACCACTATGAAACTAGCTTTTAGACCAAATTTACTTATGGAGAAAGTGAGACATTTACTGTAATTTACTCAGGATCACACTGCTAGTAAATGGAAGGGATATAAACAAAGCTTGTGCTATCTCTGTCACTTGAGGTGCAAAATTAAATAAGAATTTAAAATAATGGTAATGCAGTAATTATCCTATTATTGATTACGATTTTAAACATTATTGTTATTTCATGTAAAAAGCAGATTTAAAAAAAATTTCCAGAATATAGATAAGGTGCTTCCCATTCCCCCCTTGCCCCTGCCTTCTTCTCCCCCTCCCCAATAACTAGCTAGAAATAGTTGCATTAAGATTTTGGCTGTGTATTTCTAGACACTGTAGTCCTTGGCCTGCAGTCTGTACCCCTTCCATAGCAGTGGCTTAATTATTGCCTGAGTTTCTGTCCTGTGTAGGTTTAGGGAGGAACAGGAGGAGCTTGCTCTGTTTATGGTACTTAGACTAAGCTGATGGAATTGTCGTCATCTTGTGAATTATTGATTCTGGTGCTCCAGAGAAGAAAAACTTCCTATCCATAGCTCCTTGGCCAGACCTCTTCATATAATTGTGACTAATAAGGAAAACAGTCAGAAATGTTTTGCTAATGAATGACTGCCACAGCTGTTAGTTAGCTTCTTTCAGTTCTCATTTTAATAATGAGAAAATGAAAATATTTTGTGTTTTGCAGGAAGAAAGAAGCAAAAGCTTGCTAAGGAGAGAGCTGGACTTTCCAAGGTAACTTCAATCTGTTTTTTTTATTATTATTATTACATACTCTATAGAACTAATTTTTTAAAATCTACTTCACATAATAGATTTTGAGAAAGCTAGTTACATAAGATATTTGTGTTCTATTTTAAAATATATGTTTCTAGCAATAGTTAACTCATGTCAACTGCTGAATATCTTGATCGCCTTGTGTCAACCATTACAGAGGCTGCTTAGTATGAGCAATATATATAAAGGGCTAAAAGGTGACTCCAAAAGATTCAAATGTTTGCAAGCAGCTGTTTTGAAATAATAAAATACTTTGCACATTTGATAATTTGAACATTTACTAGTTTCCTTCCTCCAGCTTTCTTTGAAAGAACCACATGGTATTCATTCCAAAAGTTACAAAATATTATTCATGCCCACTGATCCAAAATTCCAGCACAACAAATTTTTCTGTAGTAATATGTAAATGTAGATATAAATCTTTTATTCATTTTTTTCTTTTTATAGATCCTGTGTTCATGATTATTTTTAATGACTACATAGGTTTATCTGCTTGGTTAAAAAAAATGTTCTGTGACATGTGTAAGTAAATTAAGTAAGTAAATGTTAATCATTGTGCATATAGCTTTACATTTTTATTAAATTACTTCCTTTGTTTGAATTCCCAGGGTTTGGGCTACTGAATCAATAGTGGTTCTTTTTAAGCAAGTTGAAGGATTATTAAATCAATAAATGTTGCAATTTGTTATTTTGAAACAGTAGACATAACCAACTGGACACCTAATAAGGAAATAGGTTATCAGGTTATTACTTTTAAAGATATATGGAAATAGATACATGCATAACAGCTTGTCTTGTTAGGTATAGTTATAATCAAAATCTAACCATGAGTTGAGATAGTAAAGTACCTCTACTTAGAAAAATTTACATTGTTTATCTGTGTTGGATACAGAAGCATCCCTGATGGCCTGGGGTTTAAAGTCTCAGTGCCATCTAGCTATTGCTAATTACAGGAGCTAGCCCACATGGCACAGCAGACTTCTGACTAGCTAGCTGCTCCCTTCAGAAGTGCATTTCAATAGATTTGCCTGCTCTACTCCCCACTGTCTTTGGTGAACTCCCATACCCTCTCAGTTCTTATATGTATAAATAAATAAAATAAACACTATTTTTTTAAGAAACTATAATTCAAGAAACAAAAACTGTTAATAGCAGTCTATTAAAAAGGAACTTTTCAATAGCTGGTAGCATTGTGAAATACCATATTTCAGCCTGATAATATGTAACTACTAAATAAAACCATCGCTTATTTAAATAAAGCTTCTTATAATTTATAGTAGCAGAAAAAATAAAAGTAGTTCAATGCTCAGCAAATACATAATGATTATAATAATATTCCTTAGTGGGATATTCTACTGCAATTTAAAAATAACTTTTTAGATGCACATAAAATCTGTACAAAATACTGTTGGATTAGAAGAACACGTTGTAGTTGTGTAAGTATCTATAATGATGGTGATAAAAGAGTAGATTAGTAAAATACATATTTTATGGTAGAGGTATTTCTTGTTTTAGTTTTTTGTTTTAGATTTGATTTATGGCTTTCTGAGAATTGTTCAAATACTAGTTTGATCAATAAACATTTTTATGCATTTATTTGTAGATGCAATCCTTGCATGTGTTGAAAAATGAATTTCCTTTTATTATCTTTGTAGAAAACTACTCAACTAATTTTAATAGCAAGATTTTCTGTGTATTGGTTATATCTCTTAGCGTAATCGTATTATCAGTTAAATATCCTATTTCCAAACAGTTACCTGACCTTAAAGATGCTGAGGCTGTTCAGAAATTCTTCCTTGAAGAAATACAACTTGGTGAAGAGTTATTAGCACAAGGTAATGGTTATTAAAAGATCAGAAAATTAGAATTATATTATAGTAATATAATAGTAAGGAGCTCTTTTTGGTACAGTATGGCTAATTTTTTAAGTGTTCTAAATATTTTAAATCATGTTTTAGATTAATATTATGAGGAATATTTTACTTAGAAATTCTTTTTATTGTTGCTCATAATATATTTTGAGTGAATTTTGTATTGACACGATTGGAGTAGAAAATAATCTTTAAGGATGATTGCTTTAAAATAGTTTAGAAAATATAATCACAGTTTGATACGTAAATAATGCCTGAAAGAATATATATGAATATTCTCCCTTAACTCTATCTAATCTTCAGGTCTTCTTTAGTACTTATAGGAAGAAAAAGCTTGTATAAGTATTTATTTGATCAATACATTGTTACCTGATTGCAGAACCTACCAGTGATCTAAATCTAACTTAGTTTAGATTTTGTGTTTTATATCTATTTCATCAGTCAGATGGATGTTTTATCACACTATAGTTCATTCAGTAATTTTAGATTCTTAATATAAATCTTTTGTCTTATAATGGCTTTGAAGTAGTTGCTATAATTAATGAAAGTAGTATCAAGTGGTGAGTTGATATTCTGTTCTCATTGCTCATATCCTTAGTTTTAAGATACATGATTTGAGACAATGTAGATTCTTTCATGGGAAGAGAGTTAAAAGTTTAAAGGTGACCTGGTCTTCCCTGGTGATGCATAGGGTTAAAGCACAGCTCTGTGAGTCTATTTGTAGTCACTGCAGCATGAATTCGAACCCCGACCAGGGAGGTGACCCACCGCTGCTCCCCTCAACAATGAATTTCAGCGGATCTGTCAGTTCTGCTTCCCACTCTGTCTCTGGTGAATCCTCTAATCCCTGCACCTCTGGCCTATACCCCAGTTCTTGTATGCATAAATACATAAATGAATCTTTAAAAAAAAATCATGGTGACCATCTTCATAACATGTCTTTTTCCGAAGTAATGCCATTTAAAAAAAAATAGTGATCACCTTTTTTTGGATGATATGGTAGGCTGATAATATTCATAAATAAAAGTGGAAATACCTTATTAGTAAGTACTTATGTAACTTCTCGATATAAATTTTAGGACAAAGCACTTAAATCCATATGGGGATCATTTGGGAGGCTATAATTTACTTTAAAATATGAAATCTGCTAGTGATAATCTGTGAGACATTATAATAGTTCAATACATGCAAATTTTCAAATAATATTTATTCATGTTCATGAAGACATCTATTTACTGCTATCAGTTTTCTTCTAGTTCCCCAAAATAAAGTATTGCTTTGAATTATTTTACTTTGAGATACTAAAATAAATTGTACTCCTAAATATTTATATCTTGTGGCTCCATGCCCTGTACCTATCAATCTGACTTGAGCTGTTGGGTACAAATTGATAAGAACAAGTATTTGGTGGTGTTAGGAGGAGGTCAAAGAGGGACAGGGAGTTATTCTTCTCAAGCTCATGTACCACACATAAGCCCAACATCATTGGAGGGTTGCTTAACAACTCATCTTTCAAGCTGCTTTTTAATGGAAACTATCAATCTAGCAGAAGTATAGGACATAGATGGTTAGAATTGGGGGGAGGGGGGGACAGGGTCAGTATCATCATAAGTAGTTTGGGCGGTCAACTGTAGGACTACCCTCCCCCCCTTTTTTTAATGGATTCTATTTTTTTTCCTTTTTCAATTAATTTTTTAAAATTTATTATTGTTTTGACTAAGTATATTCCATTAACAGCAAGATTTCATCTCAGAATATTTGAACAGGACCAAATGTGCAAGTGCAGAGAGGAAATGGTTGAACTTTGCAGAATTGCTGTTTGTTTACTGTGTCCAGGATATTTAGAAGTAGTGGAAAAGTGTTTCATAACACCTGTGTTCTGCCTATACAGCCCCAGTAGCAGCAATATTTCCATTTAGTAATCAGAATTAATATCCTTAGGCAGCAATGTAATTCATTCCCTCTATGCTTATAAAATCAGTGCCAAGAGCACCCTAACTTCCAAGTCATTAGAGCCATTGCATCCCTTGATGGAAATCCAAGTTCATGCAGCACATCAAATGTTGGATATTTTGGAGTTTCCATTTTAAAATCTTTGTAGCATTCTGATTTCTTTAGTTTGCAACTCATTGTTTAAATTTTCTCAAGTACCAGCCATCAGTCTCTGATTTGGTCATATTTTTATTCAGGGTGGGAAAACTTTTGTCTTTAATGGTTCATTAGTAAGAAAAGACTTCCATCAGGAACAGCCAAATTAAAGAGCTAAATTGGGCTAGTTTTATAGGTGGGTAGGGTGAGGGACCGCTTGTGTGTCTTATCTGGGCATGCCAACCTGTCAGTACCTGGATGTGTTACATTTCCTGGCCTTAAAGCTCAGGAAAGAATTTGCTGAATAATTAAAATGTACTCAGGTTCACCTAAAGAGATAGTCCAGTTCCTCTATTCAAGTTACTAAGCTAAGATTGAAAATAAACGAGGAGAATGAATCAAAATGTAAGTGCAGAAATACATAAGATAGATACCATCAGGGAAACATTTCTGTTTCTAAACATTTCAAAATAGCTATGTAGTTTAATTTTCATAACAGGTAGGGCACAGGTAACTGGGCAAGGGAAGACATAATCTGCTCAACTAAATCAGTGTTTGAAAATGGAAATTTCATTCTTACCACACTGGATTTGACTCAGTTACACTTTATTATAAGTGGACTGTATAATGCAGTTCATGTCATTAACAAAAGATACCACTTATTCTCTGCTTATCCAGTCAACAGAAGTGCAACTCAATAACCACATTACAGGGAAAGGGAGCTCAAGATGATAAACTGACTGCATTGAAATTGTGTCAATATACAAAAGTATCCTGGAATGTAGTATTTTTTAGTATTGTTGGTTATGCAAAAAAGTTGTCAGGTCAGTGCTAATTAGGTTCAGAAAGATTTCAAATCTTTTAAAAAAAGGTTTATTTGCAAGCAAGAATTGACTTGATCACCAACAGTGAATGAATTAATGTTGGTTTTCTTATTGTGGAGCTAATAATGATTTAATTTTATTCCTCATGAAAGCAATTAACTGAGTAGGTCAAGATGGTGACTGTCCCTCATCCAGAGGACAGTGGCCTAAATGATCAAGACAGGACATTTGTATTCTTCAAAGTGTTGGTGGATATTTGGCTTTTCTGACCTAAGATCAGAGAGGTTAGATAGATTAGAGAGAGGTTAGAAACTAGCCTTAGAAACTTTTACCCATTGGCAAGTGCTATCATATATGTCAACTATATTTAAACTGTTAGATTATAAGAAGCACACTACCATAAATGAGACTCAGATCTCTGGGAAGAGCACCAGAAATGACACCTTCGCAAGTCAGACCATGGAGCTGAGGGTATACACATTTATTCCCCCAAAACATACTTAGAGCCCTCAAGTTTATTAGGGTGTAGGGGGATGTGACAGATGAACCAATTTGTAGGGGAAGAAAGTAATTGAAGAGAGATGATCTGAACACATGGGTTATCTTCATAAAAACTCAGAATACATTTTGTGTGTGTGTGATTCCTTTGATTTCCTTTATTCTTAGTGAGACTGCCTATTAAATACTGAATTGGGAGAAGTTTGGTAATGTAAGCAGCGGTTCTCAAGTAAGGTGCTCAAGGCTTATCAACTTGAAGCAAATTTCTTTAAGTTTCAATTTCTTGGGATATAAAATGAGGTTATAAAGTGTTAATTATGAAGATTATTGTGAAAATGATATGAGACTTGTAGGCGAAAGAGCCTAGTCTTTGGATAATCACTGTGCCACCTGGTTCTTCCTGCCACTTTGATTTGTGTGACCATTTTCTTCTGCTAGCGTCACAACTTTTTTGTTTAATTTGCATGAAGTAACATTCAGAAACGAAGGGGTTAGTTTGAAGTGAAATTGGGCCCCTCCATCAGTCCTCAATCCTCAGTTCTCTCTTCATGGAAAAAAGTAGTAGTTCATTGTTAGCAATTTCTTACGTAATCTTTCAGAAATATTCTAAGTACATAAGTAGTAATATACTTGCATATTTCTGCACCTTTGTTTTGTTTATGGAACTTTTGTGTGTCTATGATTCATTCGTTTAATGACAATAGTTTGAAATATATGACATAGGTTATTTTTGAATTTTTACTTGCACATTATTTTTGGTTACTTTCAGAGATACAGTTGAAAACATTGAGGCTGAATTTTTCATAAAAGTGAAGGTTTTCAGATTACATGTTAATTTAATGTAAATTTTCCAGGTGAATATGAGAAGGGTGTAGACCATCTGACAAATGCAATTGCTGTATGTGGACAGCCACAGCAGTTACTGCAAGTATTACAACAAACTCTTCCACCACCAGTGTTCCAGATGCTTCTGACTAAACTTCCAACAATTAGTCAGGTAAGCATTTGAAATGTTTAGGATAAAAGAGAGTAGAATCTGATTTAAATTTAAGGACATTGGAACTTTAAAATGAGAGTAATGTGGGCCCTCCCTGGTGGCGCAGCGGGTTAAAGCACAGCACAAAGAAGCTTAAGCCACTTACGCGTGAGTTCGATCCCTGCCTGCCCTGGAGGAGATCCTCATGGCGCAGCAGACCTCTCCTGACCCGTCCGCTGCTCCCTTCAGCAGTGTACTTCCTCTATCTGCCTGTTCTGCTCCCTGCTCTGTCTTGTGGTGAATCCTCTCACCCTCTGCATCTCTGCCTAAACCCCAGTTCTGTACGAATAAATAAATCTTAAAAAAAAAAAAAAAAGAGAGTAATGTACAAGATAAAATAGTGAAACTCATTGTGAAAATAGTATTGGAGAAATCAACATTTTCTTCCCTAGTAGGAAAGCATTCAAATGACTGGGCAGAAGCTCTATTGATTGTGTTTCTTGGTGGATCAGGAAATGTGACCATGGTAATCAAATCTCAAAATTCACGCCACTCAGCTACCTTCTAAAACTATCTGCCTAGTTTTTGTGGGACCATGCTTTTTTTATGCCAAGGTGGGCTTTGCATTTAGAGCTATTTCACTATATTGCTATTGAGTATTATAAAATACCCTTGTATGAAAGATTATGTATAACAAGAGTAAATTAAAACATACTCTATTGGTTTTTAATCCTTTCCAGAGAGTCAAATTGAATCTATCTTTTGGAATATTATGTATGTTGCATATGTTAATTTGTGTAGGTATGATTAAAAATTGTTAAGATGAGCATTTAATGCCTCAAACTGATATTTAGAGTGGAAAGAGAACATTCCTAAAGGTTTCAAAAGTGTTGAAAAACCAAGGATTTAATCTAAATCTTATTTATACTGATGTGGTTCTCTGTATCAAATCCTTTTTAATATTAATAATCCTTTGCTTGATAAGTTTGCACTTTGAACAGTAGCATAACCTAATAGTACTTTTATAAAATTGACCTGAGATGATGTCTTTTGAAATATGGATGAGTTGAGAATGAATTCTGAATTCCTTTATGAAAATGGCTTCTGCTTCTAAGTTAATGTGATATCTTTTATCTGGAAAGATTTAAGTGCTAGCTTCAGGATAGTGTTTTCCTTTGTATAATGACTGACCATTTACAGGCCAAAGTCAAATGTTTAGAATGATCAGTGAAACACTAATTATATTTTTAGTTTTTGTGGAAGTCAGAATATCTTATTTTATGTAATTGATTCCACATATCATAAAATGATCTGTGCCTCCTTTGTTAATTTTAATTTTGAAATAGGGACTGATTGTATGATCATTACTTAGTTAATACTTTATAAAATGTTTTAATATTGAGGTAAGTTGCACAATAGGTAAATTTTAGCAAGTTTTGATTTTTTAGCATATTAAATTTAGAATCCTGTTTTTAATTTAGAATTTAGGATCCTGTTTTTAAAATTGAAATTTTTTTTCTCTTTCAGAGAATTGTAAGTGCTCAGAGCTTGGCTGAAGATGATGTGGAATGAGAAACAAATGTCAGCATAATCTCAATTAAAAATATTTTTAAAATCTTAACTTGGAACGTGAACAGCTCTGGGGGAATAAGGGCAAATATACTTGTTATGGACTGTCCTACACTGAAATCTACCAAAGTTAATTTTTACTTTGTGTAGATCCATATGTCTGTTTTATTTATTTTTTCCAATGAAAAGTGTTTTTTGATAGAAAGCTTTTCATTTTATAAGTACACTATGCATTACTGAAATACAGATTTTGTTCATCCTTGAAAAATAAAAATGTACAGATAGCATCACATTGCTTGTATTGAAAATTCCCAGGGCTCAGTTTTGAAAATAAACAATTAAAGTATAAGGGTAAGCTGAAGAATGTACATTTTAAAGCTGGTAAATTTTGTTATATCTCAGATGGAAACCTGATTGTTTTCAAAACTGAGCATTAAAATTTTTGAAATAGTTTCTACCACTTAATCTCTTTAAAATATGAAATGTGCTGCTGTGCTGTATTAATAACTTCACCTCCATCCTGTAAATCAGTCTTGAGATGTTTTGTTTAAATCAGTGGGCTAATGTGTCTTGGATATTTATCTTGTATCTTAGATTTATGTAGAATTAGATCTTTGTACACTCCTAATCTAGCCATGTGTGCTTCATCAGTTAATTTCTACTTACTTTACTCATTTATAAAATGAGGAAATTGGTTTGCTGATTCAGAGAAGTGTCCCTTTTACCTTTAATGCATTTGGTTCTGTTCAACATCTTTACAATCACCCTTTTCCTGAGCGGTATATTTGTTTGGGCAACCACGCCTTGCATTTTTTTTATACTCTGAATTTTGCATGCTTGCCTGACTTAGTATTTCCTAATTGATGATTTTTTTAAGGTATAACATACTGATTTTCACAGAAATCAACTGTTACCACTCTTGTAAATTAATCTGAAACTTAACCTTTAAGTTACCTGGATGATAATGCTTGTAAAAATGTTCCCCTTTGCTTTTATCTTCAATGTACCTCTCTGAACCACCTTCAATCTGATTTATCCTGCTATGATGAGATTGAGATGTAACCTTGTGGCTGAAGCAAATAATGGAGGTAACTTTTTTCTCAAAATAGTGAAATACTAACTACGGTCACAGGTTGAATATCAGATCTGAAAATAAAGGTCTTTGGTACTTGGTGTCATCTGTTGAACTGAGCGACATTTTTCATTGTCTTCTCTTTAATCTGTGGAGATCTCACCCCGCCCGCGCCCCCTGCCCACCTCCCCAGAGACTTTTTATTGACAGTCTTTTCCTAACCTTAACCTTGAATTTTGTGGTGATTGTATAGTGGCCAGAGTTTGGAATGTCCTAGTTTCTGCCTCCAGATAGCCGCACAGCCTTGAGCAAAGTCACATGACATTTCTGCACTTACCTCCAGTATTCTCATCTATATAGTTAAACATCAGAGTAGGAAAGACACATCAAAAGATTTCCTCAGGTACCTTCCAAGCTTGTGTTTTTAAACCTTTAAGCAGTGTGATTTTTGTTGCTTTTTTTTAATGATGCCCTGCATGGTTTTTCAGTCTGGGATAACAAGTACAAATGTGCCATGTGGAGTACTATCAGGTGATTAGCCATGCAGCTAGGAAACTGTCCTGTCCTGCACTTTCCTGAACACTAGCTGTGTAAAATTACACCAGGGACAGTCAGGGAAGCGGGGAAAAGGCAGGGGGTAGGTAGCTCAGCAAAGGAATGGGCCCAGTAAACCTAAGGACTGGCTGAGAAATAAGGGTCAATTTAGATTTGGGGAGGTTATATTTAGATTTGGGGAGGTTATGAAGCCAGCTGGATATCAGTTGGCTTTTTGACAAATTAGTTTTGCTGTAATATTGAAAAGTCATAAAGGGATATCTTCCATTTAGAGTTAGTTAAGCTAAGCATATTTTGTTTAAATGATGGCTTTGGTGCTTTAAATTTAGGTGCCAATTTAGGAAGCTGTTAATTTATAAAAAATAGAAAAACAGCAGACACCGTTGCTGGACACTTTCCTAGCTGAAGTTTTACAGGATGGTGAAATCAGGCAGTTGTGATGCTATGCCAAGTGAGGTTCAACTCCATACTATGCATAATATATTTGGGAATGGACATAAGTATTCATGTGTGTAGAATACTTGTTTGAGTAAAGGTTTACTATTTGGTTCCACCATGTTTTTATAAGGTGAGACCATTTAAAACAGGATCACTTGGCAACAGTGGTATTCAAATAATAGGTGACTAGAACATAACATTCATGTTTTAATTATATCAAGTGTAAACCTTAGTACAGTGGATAGTAGGCACTCAGTAAATGTTTGCATTTCCTTACCCCCACAGTACAATTTTTAAAATTTTTCTTTCTGAATGTGTTGAATCAGCCTCTGGACCAGAGTATTAGTGAATGTCACTGCTTCATAGATATAAAAAATATTGATAGATCATGCAGACATAAAAATCCTCTTGTAATTTTAAAATGCAATTTTAATATTGCTGTGCCTCAACTGTTAAGTGAAGATTAAAGGGCTTGGAGAAAATTTTGTCTTGTGTATTTTGCAGAAGTGAATTCTAACTTTTCTGACTAATACTACTTAACCATTTCTAGATTAACATTTTGAAATTTGCTATGGAGCCTCACCCCAGGAAAGTGTACATTTGCTTTTGACTTCAAGGGATTTACATATTTCAGGTTAAGAACCCTTGCTTCACTATCAACAGGTGATGAATCTATGGCATAAAGGTTGTTCTACTTAGCATATACCAGAATATTCCAGAAGAATTGTGAAAAGCAGATTATTAGGTAGTAGGTCTGGGCCAGGAAGAAAACTTTACAGGTAATGTTGATGCTGCTGGTTCTGAATCACATAATAACTATGACAATATGAACAGGAAATTCTTACCAAAGAACACTAGCTGTAAAATTGCAGGTGAACTACACCCTAACCATGAGATGGGATTACAAACCAACTAACTGATAACAGAGTGGGATTCTCTAAGAACACCTAGGAATGTTGATCTGAAGCATAAAGACCTTCCATTATCAGACTATCTTCAAGATCGCTCATTTAAATGTTTTGTAGGAAATTGCAGGAACTAGCCCATCAGACAAGTCAGTTTAGCAGATACTGCGCTCCTTAAACATTTTTGTTGATTTATAAGTGATTATACTGAGCATATAATTTATAATAGCTATGTAAATGTGACTATATTGCTCTTTTTGTCTTTTAAACACTAAAACATCTGAACACAATCCAGGAGGCATTGTGGAATTCTAAGTGTTTAATCCTAAATACTTGTTTGATTTTCATTAATATTGATAGGGAATCAAATACTTTGACCTTACTACTGACAAAGAAGCTAGAGGTGAGAGTTGAGGGGGTAAAATGGGGAAGGGATACTGTGTTTAACTGGGAACTTGATTTTTTTTTCTTCTTCTTGGCTCTCTTTTTTTATTACAAAAGTTTATTTTGACATCATTTTGTACATTTTTTTTCCATCTCAATTGTAATCCCCGTGGGTTTCCCAAAACAAAGTCACCCATGTGCCATCACCATAATCCCGTGCATTTCTCTCTCCCTGCCCCCCCCTGCCGTTTTTGATCCCATTCCCCACTCCGCCCCCACAGAATGTCTCTGATATATGGTGGTTCATTATTTTTGTTATTTTCTCGCCTGGTCCATTATACTCCTGCTATGAGTGAAACCATCCGGTATTTTTCTCTTTCTGGCTTATCTCACTAAGCATGATCTTTTCCAGCTCCATCCAAGTTGCTGCAAAAGACATGTGTTTCTCTTTTTTGGTTGCTGAGTAATATTCCATTGTATATATGTAGCACATCTTTCTAATCCAGTCATCTACTTTTGGGCATTTGGGCTGCTTCCATGTTTTTCCAATTGTAAATAAAGCAGCAATAAACATGGGGGTACAAGTATCTTTTTCAATCAGTGTTTTTGTGTCTTTTGGGTAGATACTTAGGAGTGGGATTGTTGGGTCGTAGGGAAGCTCCATGTTTAGCAGTTTGAGGAACCTCCAAACAGTTTTCCATAGTGGTTGTACTAGTTTGCATTCCCACCAGCAACGCAGGAGAGTTCCTTTTTCACCACATCCTCGCCAACATTTGTTGTTGCTAATTGTTTGAAGATGTGCCATTCTCACTGGGGTGAGGTGGTATCTCATTGTGGTTTTAATTTGCATCTCCCTTATTACGAGTGATGTTGAACATTTTTTCATATGCCTGTTGGCCATCGGCATTTCCTCTTTGGAGAAGTGTCTTTTTAGCTCTACTGCCCATTTTTTAATGGGGCTGTTTAATTTTGTTGAGTTTCATCAGTACTCCGTATATTTTTGTGATCAGTCCTTTATCTCTACTTTTCCCAGTTAGTGATTTGTCTGTCTGTTTTTAGTAATGTCTCTTTTGCTGTACAGAAGCTCTTTAACTTGATGTAATCCTATCTATTTATCTTTGCCTTCACTATTGTGGTGTTGGGTGCTCTGTCTTTAAACATGTCGCTGAAGTGTATGTCGTGTAGTGTTTGACCCATCTTTGCTTTTAGGTATTTTATGGTTTCTGTTCCTGGGAACTTGATTTTAAAAAAAGTGGTGCTACCTAGTGTTCACCACAGTATGTTCATGTGTCGTGCTGTCAGAATGTCATCCACATTCAGGGAGAGTGACTGGATCCCACTGGAACTTGCTGAGATCTTAGTCTATGAGACCCTGAGTTTCTTTGATGCATAGGAAATAGACTGAACTGAGCTGATCTTTGACTTTGTTCCTCGATAGCGTGTTCATCTTTGAATTTCTAAAGCCAGAACCTGTCTCACTTAGAGTAACACAAGACTGGTCCTCAGATGACTGATTCATTGATCACTTGGCTGTTTCACCCGTGCCATTGCATGTATACTACACAGCCTTTGGAAGAGGCTAAGTGTGGTTTTAGCAGAGATGGATTCTTTCATAAAGCAACTATGTCACTGTTACATTCCTACAGAGACTTCAATGTTAGATACAGAAAGCCAACTTGAAGATAATGCTCTTGTTAGCACTTCAGAAAAAGTAGATCTCTGTTAAGGTTAGAATGATCTCTAAGCCAGGACAGTTCTTGCCATTTAAGCTAACTGCTTGTTTTTACAAATATATTTATCTAAAGAGGCTGAAGCTTGGCACTAGCAGCTCCAGGCCCATATAAATAAGAGTATCTGTTGAGCTCTGTAATGTAGTCTCACTGACTCCTCAGTGTCTTATAACTTAATTTTGGGGAAAACCTGCCCAATGTTACATGGGAAATGGAGATTTGGTGTTTTTACAGCTTTATTGAGGTATGGTTTGCAAATAAAAATTGTTACATATTTATACTGATCAAGGATGTTTTGTTAAGTGTACATTGCTAAGTGATTACCTTAATCTGACATTCAGCAACACTGTATATGATTTAGGGGATGTAGGTTCACACCTCACATTATGTTACCACAGCTACTATAGGCTCATTATCCACTGTAATCCATTGGGCCCACTCCCTTCCCCTCCTCTCTGGTAGCTTCAGTTCTGTAGTCAGATTTCAAGGTTTTATTTTGACTTAGTTCTGTTCCATTTTTTTATTTATGTTCCACATGAGTGAAGTCATCAGGTACTTGTCTTTCTCCCTATGATTTGATTTGCTTAACATAATCCCCTCCACTTTCACTCATCACAAGTGGCAAGATTTCATCTTTTTTATAACTGAGTAGTAGTCCGTGTGTGTGTGTGTGTGTGTGTAATATATGCCACAATTAATCCACTCATCTATCATTGGGCATTTAGGATGTTTCCATGACTTGGTTAATGCTGCAGTGAACACAATGCATATCCTTTCAAATTAGTGTTTTTGTGGCCTTTGGCTAAATACTGAGGAATAGAATTGCTGGATCAATATACAAGTCACTTTTTGATATTTTGTAAAATCTCCATAATTTCCATAGGAACTAGTCTAGTTTTATATTCTCACCAACAGTATACAAGGTTTGCTTTTTTCCCACACCCTTCCCAACATTTACTTCTGTCTCTGTTAGGTCATTCTCCTTGGAGTGAGGTATCATGTGGTTTTAATTTGCATTTACTTGATAATAAGTGATGATGAACATTTTTTATGTGTCTGTTGACCACCTGTATACCTCCTTTGGAAAAGTTTTTAGTTAGCTC